TCGCCAGAGAATTCCTAGAATCGATATCTCTCCTGGATCAAATCAGATCGTCGGATCATGAGGTTATACAAGATCGGACACTGCAAGCGATTGATGAGATTACCAACAGATTGCCCGCGTTATTTAACATCAACGAGATACAAGACAAGTATCCTGCAATCTCGCGCGAGCCATTAAACGCGATTCTCATCCACGAGGCTGAACTGATTAACAAGACTTTGTCGATGATTGCAAATTCCTTGAGCAATTTGAAATCAGCGTTGATAGGCGAGACAATCTTGACCGAACCTTTGGAAACTCTGTCGAGAGAAATATGTAATAACGAAGTGCCGTACGTCTGGAGACTGATCGACGTCGGCATCGCAACTAGACGTCTATCGAATTACATCGACCTGCTCGTGAAGCGCGTGAACTTTGTGCGATGTTGGCGTGACAGCCCTCTACCTCGTGTGATCCATTTCGACGCGCTGTCTTGCTGCAAGAGATTCCTATCCGCGGCTCTCCTTGCGTTCTCACGACGACGTGGCATACCCATCGAGCAAGTCTCGTTGGATCTTAAAGTGACAAACGACAATTTTACGTGCAGCGAGGGAGACGAGGACGAGTATTACATTCACGATTTGCATTTATCTGGCGCCCGATGGGATACGCGAAGGCATATTTTGAGCGAAAGCTTGACGAACATATTTTGGTACGACATGCCACCGATACGGCTTACGTTTAACAGAAAAAAGAGAATTATTGATGATATTATATACAAGTGCCCTGTATATATCTCGCCGGCGCGATGCGACGAAATAGATAGTGATACGAAAAAGAATTACATCATGAGCGTGCCTTTGGAAACTAATAAATCGCATATACATTGGATAAAACGTGGCACAGCGTTATTCTGTCAAGTTGAGAAATAATTTGAATAAGGATTGAATTTTTCGTTTTCGAACTAATCTAATCTCTCAATCAGTCTAATATGTGTACAATAATTAATTTATATTTATCTTAATTTATATAGATATTAATGATTCTAAAAATATCATTTATGATTGTATAATCGCGTGCTGTTTTGAATGTTTAAAAAATAGTTTGAAGAAAGGCTGCTGCAAAATGCTACATTAATTCCACTTTAATATAAAATTGTAAATGGCTGAAAAGTTAGAAATATCTTGAAAAAAAACTTATATCAAATTAAAATGTAAAACACAAATGGTACTATTTTTTAATTTATCCTATCCTAATTTAAGTAAAAATAATTTTAATTCTCCTTTAAAACGTATTATACCATAAAATTTACTTTACTCAGTTCATATGTGATATACGGACCATATACCATACTTCCTATTCCAATCCAAGTCCGTTTTATGGTGGAGCTGTATATACTTACCTGTTGAATTGTATTATAATAATGCAACAGTATATTATAATATTTCCTACAAAATATTAAAATTACTATATTTTACAATATTGTTACAATTTTCCAACAAAATATGAAAAATTCGATAATGTAATAATATTGCTATAATTTTTGTAAAATTGTGCTCTATCAAATATTCTAATATTGCTGTAATATTTCATGCTGTAGAGATTAATTAAAAGATGAAGTGCTCAGAAATGCCCCCAAGAAAAATTTTTAATTTTAATTATATTTTTTACTAATATTATATTGTAATTAAAACATTAGTATAGTTATACTCTTGTGAAATAAAAGAATGAGAAATATAGAAATAATAATAAATTTTACAGAAGACTTGTGACAATGAAAGTGTAACAAATTTTTCTTATCAAAAAAGTAACTTGTAACTGTAACTTCGTTACAAGTAACGAGTTACTTCCATTCCCTGCCTATAATGGAACAAAGTCGAAATGGATTCCTATCGGAATTGTTCAATTATTCCCTAGATTTCTACTGTGTTTCTTAGGGAAAACGGAATAATTCTGATCGGAATCCATTCACTTTGTTCCATGATAGGTACTCTGATCGTAACCGATTCAAACCAGGTTTCCAAAACGAGGGCGGGAGCGCTCTTCATGCGTCGTTTGAACGGACTTCCTCTACACATTCACATCCGGTTCAATTCCGCGCGTAACTGATTATAAAAGGGAATGAGCAATAATGACAGGCGGACAGAGCGAGAGAATTGACGTGTAGAGTGTAAAGAAGGTGCTTTTGCAGAATCGGCCACGCAGGGTGGATTCGCCGTGATCGGAATCGCGAGGAGCAAAAAGAAAAAGAGAAAGAGAGAGAGAGAGAGAGAGAGATAGAGAGAAAGGGAGAGAGAGAGAAAGAGCAGTGAAATAGACATCGTGAGTTTTTTAACATTTGCAGAGAATGGCGAGCCGCGACGAGTTGGTCTCGCAATTCGCGGACGTAACTGGTGTTGACGCCGAGAGAGCGCTATTTTACCTTGAGTCATCCGCTTGGCAGCTCGAGGTGAGACAGCACATTTTACGAAACGCATCGCGGGGACCGAGTTCGTACGCGACGTGCTCCGCAATAATAACGCACGGGCGTCCTCTCGGTCGCAATAATCTCCGCCGCGGCACCAGTTTTATAACGTGTTATCGCATTCGTCATAACGGTTATCATTTATCCGGCGGCCCGGTCGTCTTCCCTGACGTTTAACACTCGCGTCGTATACCTTGACGCATTCGTTATCGTGGATAGCTCTCACGTATAGCTCCTATAAAAGTCACGACAAGTTCGTGACGACGGTAACCATTACCGGCGGGATGTAAGATTACAAGTTTGTCGAAGCTTGACCCGTCCTATCACTGTAAGGTTTCTTCGTGTAATGAGATTGTCGAAAATGTTCTTCGACAATCTTATCACACGTGTTGGCACGTAGTTTTTCTTTGTAGGTTGCCTTGACGAGTTTCTATGAAAACGATGAGCCAGCTGAACTAGTGACCGAGACTATCGATATATCACAACAAGCCGAAGGATCGGAAGATAATACGGGCGCAATGTCAAATAAGCAAACGAAATCTGACTCGACAGAGTCGAAGGGTGCTAAATCCAAACCCAGATTCGGGACGTTAAACGATCTTCAGAATACTGACAGCAGTTCTGAAGAGGAAGAGGGACAGGCGTTTTACGCAGGTGGTTCTGAACACAGTGGACAGCAAGTTCTAGGACCAGGAAAGAAGAAGAAGGACATTGCCAGCGACATATTCAAGTCATGTCAACAGCAATCTATCGCTGCAGATTCCCCAAAAATAGGAGGCCAACAAAGGCCGAACACGTTTCTAGGCACGGGATATAAATTAGGTCAAACTAGCTCGGATAGCGAAGGTATTTTCAAGCTTTATTTTATAAAAGATTGACGCAAATCTGATAAACAAATATTACATTCTATGTGTAACTATAGTGGTGATGGGAGCAAATATAGATCAACAATCTTCAAGTGGTCTTATTATATTAAAATTATGGAAGGATGGATTTACAATAAACGATAGTGAGATACGATTGTACGAAGAGGCTGAAAACAGAGACTTTCTAGATGCCATTAAACGAGGTGAGATCCCAGCAGAGATTCGTCAGCAGGTACAAGGAGCGGAAGTACGACTCGATATGGAGGATCATCGTCATGAGACTTATGTTCCACAGAAAAATAAAGTGAAAGCCTTTTCTGGAAAGGGACATATGTTAGGAAGGTATGTTAAGGATTTATTTCATTATATTATTAGGAATCAGAGCCCATAATAGATTTCGGATTTAATTTCTGTATTTCTTAAATTTTATTTCTGTAATATAACAAATGTTTCAGCCCATCGCCAGCTACTGTGGGCATGACGGTTCCAACAGATCCTGCTGATCAAGCTGCCAATGAAGAACAAGCGAAAAAAGAACTGGATCTAGATGCTTCAAAACCAACTACAACATTACAAATCCGTCTTGCAGACGGCAGTATTGTAAAGGCTCAATTCAACCTATCGCATACAGTCGCTGATCTTAGACGATATATAATAACGTATCCTTTAATTTTAAAGTATTTTTAATTGTGCCTACATCTTTTCTAAGTTAGCCAAGAGATTAAAAGAGAAGAGTTTTTTCTTAATATATAATACCAGTATGAGACCTCAGTATGCTCTAAGGGATTTCAGTTTATTAACTGTATATCCAACGAAGGAACTTGCAGAAGATAAAACTATTGAAGAAGCTGGTTTACAAAATTCGGCTATAATGCAACGACTGAAATAATAAACTTTTTTAAATTCTTAGATTGATGTAACGATGAGATACCAAATATATGTTAAATCGCTTAAAAATAAAATTTCTATGTATTTTTATTAGGAATATAGAACCTTTTTTTCTATGTTCTCTTTTATTTTAGCGTATATTTCCTATTTCCTATGATCACGTACATTAATTAATTTCAAATTCAACGATGTTTAAAATTACTATAAAAGTCTAGACGCTAAGTCATTTATTTAATTTTCAAAATAAGCATTAGTTAAAATATTTATATCTAATAGAATTACCATTTTAGAGTGTATCTTGTCAATATACTTCGCTCCCAATATAACGCAAAGTCTAAAATCGGAATACAAGATGTCTTTTACACAATTCTTGCAAAAATGTCATATAAGACATCTTATGTTCAAATTTGGATTTTTGTTTTCTAGGCTGTAATAAGTGTATGTTTGTTTGTTTGTTTGTTTGTTTGTTTGTTTGTGTGTGTGTGTGTGTGTGTGTATGTGTGTGTGTGTGTGTGTGTATATACAGCATAAAAAATACAAAGTGTGGAACAGTTGAAAGTAACAAGTAGGAATGCTTTATTACAGCTTAAGTTTAAAACTTGAAATGTATACAAAATATTAATATAACTGATCATATTATGACTAGTTGTATAACTGTCATGTGATGATTAAGGCACCTAATATGAAAGACTGCATATAATTATGAAATACCTATATATGTATCAATGAAATAGTATGCAAATGGAGCACTATCCAAGCTTGTGCAAATATTAACTTATTATTAGTCACACAAAATTCGCATATCACTTTATATCCGCATCAAGCAACTTGTAAAATCCAAGATATTTTCTAAGAATCGACGAGTTTTGTACATCTTGGGCAAATCTCAAAATTGTGAGATCTTCTACTTCTCGACTCTCTTTATAATTATCACAATACATGTATTGATTCACAATAATCAAATCATTTCCTATTTCTTTTGTATATACATGAGTATTCTGTAATGATACATATGGCTTGTGTATATAAATAGAACGATTTTCCAGAATGTTTATATCGGTTTTGGTCTTCTTCAATATCGTCAGTGTAGAATTGGCATATTGTTTATTGTCAGCTTGTTGTGTGCAAAAAGTTATAGTTTTGAGCTTATAGCGATCGGCTATTAATTTAGTTTGTTTGAAATCTGCCAACAAATCAATGGTTGCATGATGGTACTTTAAGTTTACATACTCGTTCCATGAAAGAGCAATAACATAAGCGACACTATTGTATGTACGATATAAACAATCTGTCTCAATGATTTCTCTTATGACATTTTGATCAATCTCCATGAAAGGAAAGTTCCACGGTATAACGGTATATGTAAATTTCCAAAAAGAAGTTGGATCGTTTGCCATTTCTTTTAATCTACTATTAAATTCATTTGAAATTCCAGAATCATATATAATGAAATTATCCATTCCGATCAATGCATGGAAGCTGATGAAGCCTATCATATCTATTGATTTTGTTGGCTTCATCAATGATTGTGTCACACACACTCCTATCCTGCTGTGGCTTAAACTCCTTGGCTGTATTTTTATAGGAAAAATAGGTGCATAATCAAGATACTTGTTAGACTTTGTAACAAATGTTATCCCAATGGGAGTTTCATCACTGATGTATGTACAAACAAAATCATATCCTCCATATCTTGAACTTTCTCCTAAACTTGAAATAACTGCATTGCCAATAGGAATAAATCTATAACTTCCCAATATAGGTTTACTCTCGTTCTCAAAGAAGACAAGACATTGCATATTTGAGACACTGTTTATGGTCCCAAGTCCAACTACCCGTATTTCCTTGTCATTGATGCTGTATGCAGAATATATATACAAATCATCCTCCAGACGTTGCCAAGAAGGAATCGGTTCGTCAAATTTTGCATTGAATATAGTGAAAGTTGTACTTAAGTTTGCACAATTTGTATCTGCTGTTCTTGGCCCAGGTTTCCCAAAATAATTAAAAACTTCTAAGACGTACCTCAGCTTATTATATTCATGTCTATAAATGAGCAACGATATGAGGCTTACTACCGCTATAACAGCTAAAGCAGCTTGATAATATTTTCTCATATTGTTGATGGTTATATTCTTATTCTCATATAATGTTGTTTCTAAAGACTAAGATAAATTTTTTACGTACTTCATAATCATTCCAAAATTATGTTCAGAGGTTATTCTGAAAGAAAAATTAACGGATATATATCACTTAACTTCATAACATTTTTACACCATTGTTACATGTATACAATTATCAATATTTCTTACTCTCTGTTTGAATCTCATCATTTTAACTAGAATTATTATTCCTCACCAACGAGCATCTCATAACCATAAATTGCCCGCTTTATTTTAAAATATGTCAATTTTTTTATCTTTGATCACGATCTTGATCTTTGATCTTCAATGAGAATCAAGATTACTACGAAACTTCAGATTAATTTTTATAATTTATCTTTTAATAATTTATTTTAATTGCAGTATACACAATAAAAAAATATGACATATATACATACACATCGCATACGTCATAGAATGCGTTCCATTCCTCGCATGGTGCGCATAATGCATAGTTTCGGTTATCCTTGTTGCTTACTAAATATAAAACAAGGACAATGGATGCATCATGCGCAACATGCGCGTTACGGAACGCACCTATAGTGAATTTCTATTGACGCAAATGCGCGTAAATTCATCGTGCTGATTGGTTCTTGTGAATTTTTAGAGTCTCTAGCTTTTCTGGTAAAGCGCCAATTATAAAAATTATGTACTAAATTTTTTTACAAAGTGCAAAAAAATGGTAGGAAAATGCAAAGAAAAATCAATAAGACACAAAAATTCTTATAATTATCATATATTATAAATACAATCTCTGTTTACATATATATGTACGTATGTACTATCCACAATCTATACAATTGCATATTGTTCATATAATAGTTCTCGCACTTTATAGTAATCCTCGGAAATGCAACCTTCCAGTATTACCTTTCCAGCCTCGTGCTAAAATAAGCATAATAATTACTTATCTAACTACAATATTTTTTATAGTAACTGTACTTTTGTAAATATAATTTTAAATATTTCTTTTAATAAAGGTGCAAAAAATGTATACATAGGCAATATGAATAAAATCGCGTTTTTACTAACAAAAATGTTACAAACAAAACAAACCCTTCTGACGGCGATAGTATTATTACAACACCATAATACTCCTCCACTAAATTCTGAAGGAATGTTACTTTTGTTCAAAATCTGTTTAAAATCGGATAGTTTCAATTCATTTATGAATGTTGTTTGATGACCGGGAACCTGTAAAAGTACAGTTTATGATGTAAATTGAATTTTTACGTTCTCCCAACTATATCTCACCTCATTTAATGGCAAAGGTTCCAAAGTTAATATTTTATCACTTTCGTCAATTGCGTTCTCGGATTCAGTATCGGCAATGGCATCTCGACAAATCTGATCACGTGCAGTTATCATAGCATCTATCCACGCCACTTCAGAATCGCCTTTACCTTTCGAGAAATTCAATCCGCTCACTAAAGCATCAGTCAAACGTACCTATAATGAAAAATACATTTCACATAATGGCATATCAATTTTTATTTAATACATTTTTTAATTAATACAAATTAAAAACAAAAGAAAAAAGTATAATTATTTAACATTAATACTATTAATAGACATAATAATTAAAAATTACTTGATAAATATGTGTTTCCGTCGTGGCGTCTAGTGTTTCTCCTCTTCCTGGAATAAATACTCTTGCACCGGTACTTTGCGCCTGCTGCGCTAGTATCTCTGTGTCTTGAGGCGAACCCCTGACTAACACAACTCTTCTTGGTCTTAACTGCGCCAAAATTTTCTGTAAAGATTCGCCGTCGGATCTACCTTCAAAATCTATATATGTTACTGCTGCATTAACGGTCATTGTACGTGAAACTTGTACACATTTTGTCGGAATATCCACGGTTACTTCTGGATGATAATTAGATTCATCCTGCTTCATTTCTGTATTCTCTTTATTATCCTCTACTTCGGGTACAGTCTCTGCTATTTTATAATCTTCCGGTCTGTAATAATAAATAGAAAAAAAATTTACTTACAATTTATTCATAAAAATAAACAGATAAACAAGCTATGGATTATTAATTATTGTTAAAATATAAATATAGATGCAAATAATTATTTTAACATGTATATGCAATTTTATATACACATATATAGACTTTTAAAAAAACTCAATGCATATGTATAATATTAGAATTAGACTCTTATTAGACTTTTTTATTGATTAAATATATTGTGGTGTATAAAAATATCCTTACTTTATAATTTCTCCATACTCATCTATTTTAATCTTTTCTTCTACAAATGGAAACATGGGATGTTGCTTTTTACTTTGTTTAAAAAACCCAGGTTTACTTTCTTGTTTCACTAGTAAATCATGCTTTCCCCTGCCACTACCAACTTCTATTTCATCCTCAGACTCAGAACTCACATCCGCGGTTTCCCTAATAAAACACATATTATAAGTATAATTAGTAACATGTAAATTTTTGTTATAACTTGATAAATGGATATACATCTATTATATATACATCTGTTCTTGTTTCAGCTGCTCCTGCTTTAGCTTTTCTCTTTTTTGATATTCTTCCAATTCAATACCTTCGAGTTTCACTCGTCTCTTTACTTCTAGCGTAATATTTCGATTGCCTCCTTTCTCTACTAAGTCTCTAGCAAGTGTACCAGGAGATGTTCTGCTCGTTAATATAATACTGTTTTGCGGATTAGAGCACCATTGAAGAAATAATTCACGGGAAAATCCACATTCCATATCTGGAGTGCTTGCAAGAACCACCTAGATATAACAATTTAAAATTAGTCTTCAAATCAAACAATTTAAGAATTGTAGAAGTTTTAATTATTTTATTTACCTTTGGACTTGGGACTTGATTCAATTCAGCCATACTATGACAAAGTTGCAAATGTTTAAATTGGAATGGATTATTACGTGCACCTTCAAAACTTCTCATTAATTTATCACTCATCCATTCGATTTGCGATTTTGCGAATTCTACAACATTGTAGCTCACATTGTTGAGAAGAGCTAATGAATAGGCGAGTAATCCAGATTCCTTATTACGCCATAACTGATCCAACATATGTGCCAACTCCAATACACGACCAGCCGTATCTACACTAACTAATACATTTCCACCACCTCGTAATGTTTGCAAGATATTAGCTAAAACACAAATGCAAATAAAAATACATATCTGTTAAAAACACATCTTTACATTTATATATATCTATTTAATTTATAATTTTATAGAAAATGAGAATAAAATAAAAAATATGAAATTTACTCATCAATTTTTCATCTCTTGTTCTTCTTCTGGCTTGCTGATATGTAGCATTGAATGCATCTGTTATCAGTAATGATGGTCTTTGCAATCTTTCCAATTCACAACCGTTCAAGTGACGTTCCTTTTTATGATTAAAATCCACAGCATATATTATATCCTCTTCCCCAACTTTCACAATCTTCCAGATTGTTCCACCAATCATGTGTCCTGCTGGTAAAGGTGTCAATGTAACACCATAGCCTTTACCTTTCATCGATATACTTTGATTATATTTTAACTGTACAATTTTATCAAATGCAGCATCAACATCGTCTAGAGTAAATAGATCAAAATCTTCCATATTATGACGAGACTAAAATCAATATAAATAACCAAAATATTAATTATTAAAATATTAATATTTCTTCAATATACTTCTTTTATATTTCTGATTAAAGAAATATACCTGATATATATCGTACATAAACATTTGACCCATTTTATAGACAGGTATGGTAGCATATATAGGACAATTCAAGCCACATTTACCTACGAGATATGGTAACGCACCTAAATGCAATGGGTCTGGGTATGAAAGTAATACCGCATCTATCTGATGTACATGTCTAGAAACATAAGAAATAAAAGAAATATTATACAATATTAATAATATATATAATTAATTATTTTTTGTTACAATAACAATGTTTATATGAGCAATACCTCTTCAATTCTTTTATGAAATCTTGATCAAAATTTTCATCCCATCCACAATCTAACAATATCCTCAATTCATCCACTTGCAATATGTAGCAAGGTGGAGATTCGTTCATCGCTCCGGAGATAGCATGAAGTTTTATAATAGATGTCATTTTGTATATTTTCTTTAATAATATATCACAAATGTAAATCTCAAACGGAACCAAATATTAGTCACTACTTTTTTTAAGGTTGTTTAGTTGTTCCTTCAAACTTCTATCATCCTAACCTAAAAAGAAAAAGAAAACATTGGCTTGTTCTTTGCCGAATACAATGAATTTGTACTAAACTCAGACTGGCATTACATTTGTCTTAAGTTTGGACTATTTATCAAAATTTTCGGAAAATAATAGTAGAGGAAAGTAAAAAACGATATTGTATCTGTAATAATCACAGATACATACCGATGCCGGATTTGACGCAGGCTAACTGACAACACCTGCGCAAAAAGGCAATGAATTAAAAGGCAACATGTTGCATCTGTGCATTATGCAATTGATCAATCGATGAATTAAAAAAACTCACCCTTTCATAATTTTTATACCATCATATTTTTTGTACATATTTTATTGTGATTAAAATTATTTTATATCAGTATAGCTTTTCTCATATACATATATATATATATATATATACTACTATGTATATTTATATGCTATATTATTTTTTAATTATTAAAGTTGAAGCTTTTAATATAAAATATTATTGAAATTAAAAATTTTTTTAATATATTTCATGTGTTTGTATAACTTTTTTATTAACTACTAGACAAAAGTGTTCATACAAATTATTAATTCAGTAAATATGGTATATTGAGTGTAAAAGAGGGTAAGATAAAGATTTATTTTAATTTCTCTGTAAACAAGACTTGAAAATTGAAATAGATTGAAATAAATTAAGATTTTCAGAAATATACATTCACAAATAAAATTATAATTCCTTTTTAAAAATAAATCTTTTTCAATCCAAATGTATTTTCATTTAATTATAGGAAATGTATCAAAGCACATTTGTATGCCTTCGAATCTGAAAATATAGAGCTTATTCTTTTTGTGAATCGTGAATATTGCTTAATTCAAAATTCTGAATAGGACATGCAATTTTTCTATCCAAATATAAACTCAGTTGAATCTAATTGAATCCAATTAAATAAAAAAAGTTCCTTTTATTCAATTAGACACAATTGACTTAAAATACGCATAAAAAAATTCGATCCATTTTAATCCATTTTTTATTACTAGGTTTTTTATTGTAATACATTTCTGATATGTAAAATACATATTATATTATTCATCTTATATGATCATTAATCCTATCTTGCTCTTTTTAACCCCAATCATCACTATTTATATCTTGTACGATATCTGTATCTTCTCTCGGCAAATCTTCATCCTCGATATAGTTTGCTATCTTCTGTTTTTTGTTTTTCTTACGCTTTTTCTTATTTAATGACTTTTTCGTTTCTGTTTCGATTTCCGTTCCCTTCAATCGTAATTCAAACTCGCTCTCTTCTTCACTATCTTCTGCATTTCGCTCATCCAGTTTCTGCTTTTTCGGTGTGTTCACCGGTACATTAAGTACTTCTTCGTTCTTCGTAAGAAGTTTAAGCATCTGAGATTTATGAATTTCAATCCAAGAAGTATAGAATTTGGATATTTCTGTGCCATCTGTTTTCATTCTATTTTCCCAATTTGTGATTTCTGCTATATTATTCAGGTTTATCATTGATTTAATACGCTCAGCTTCAATATATTTTCTATTTTCTTCAATCATATTTAGAAGCTGTTTTATCTTCTTACAATAAGCTGCTACATGGCACTTTTTCAGAAATGCTTTTAACTGTAAAACAAAATACATCAATTCGATTCATTTATGATAAATCTAATAAAGTCAACAGTTTCTGTTTTAATTTTTTTTTTAAGTACCTGTATTATACAAGGTATGTATAAATCTGGAAAATATATCTTATAACTATCGTTTGCTGCATTTTCCAATATAAATCGATAAACAGTTTCAATAATACTATCCTTGAAACCATTCTCTACTAATTGCGATTTTGACATCCTTAATATACAAATAAGTGGTATAGGTTTCATCGTAACTGCTTTATGTTTTTTGTTAAAATCATAAGAATCCAGTATCTAAACAAAAAAACTTGACAAAATATTTGTACATTCTAAAATTACAATTATTCAAGAATAAAAAATTGTTGATACCTCGAGAAGAAATGGTAAAATAGGTATAAATGTCCTTGTTTTGTTAGAAATGATTATTAACATTTCTATGCAGTGAAATCGCAATGGATAGTACTGTGGCGTTGGAATTACTTTTATTGTTCCAACAATTACCTTAATTAAGTTAATAAATAAAATTAGTTTTTATTATAAAGCGGGGAGCACAGACTTTTGCATAACGCATAAACCATACACATAAAGAATTTGATTGGTCCATTGACTCATGCATAAGAAAATAGGCCAATGAAATTCCTTATGCACATACTTTATGCGTTATGCAAAAGTCTGTGCTCCCCGCTTAATACTTTTGAGGCTATCACAACACATGGGTATTTTTGTCAGAGGTACCAAAGGTTTGAAGGTTAACGCCGTGTCATGATGCATTGCTAATTATATTACCCACAAATCTTTTGGCACCTCTGTAACTTTTATAATATTATGTATATAATAACAAAGCTTGTTTATCCATTTCAACCAATGTAGAATTTTGATTTTTACTTTTTATCTTTTTCTAATTCTAAAAATTAGAAAAAATTAAAGAAGAAATAATTATAAACCAACATATTAACATTAATCTACATTAAGAGAAATAAACATCCATTATATACAACTAATACCTGCACTAATGGATACAACAGTGATCGTAACATCGATTTCTCTTTTGATTTAATTATCAATTCTGTCCAAAAACGTAAAGAATTTATGTACTGCCAATTATATACAGCTTGGAAGTTTTCCTGGAAAAAAAAAAAAATTAAATTTCTGAAATAGACATCATGAAAAGTACAAATGGTCTTTTAAAAATTACTTGTTTTTTTAATGTTATGGCATTTCTTAAATTAATCGCTAATTGCCTAATATATAAAAAGGCATGATTGTATGAAACATCATGGTCGAGTAGATAAATTTCAACTAAAGAATGTTTCATAAAATTTATTCCTGGTAATGTGTTAGGTGAAACAAATTTTGAATTCTGAACATATTTCACATACATGGTCTGAAAGAAAAACATTTTTAATAATACAATTGTAATAGAAACAATTCATAAATATTCTTTTTATAACATTTAGAACTCACCTTTAATAGTTTTTCTAATACAGATTTTTTGTTAGTTGCAACATGTAGTATATTTAAAAAAGCTGTAACCTGAACAGTTTCTTCTGCAGATGACCAAAACTTTATCAAAGTCCTTAACAATGGTTTAGTTAAACGTGAAAACGAGCAAGTGTAAAGCAACACTTGGCGTAAGTGCTTTAGAAGTATTGTGAGAATACTGGATGATGCTACACTTTGTAATAACTATGAAAATGATATACATTAGTATTATATGTGTAACTTAAATAAGATAATTAAATATTTAACAAACACATACTTTGATTAAATCAGATAAGTACAATTTTAAAATATATCGTATTTTTACAAATCTAGTGGATTTATGTGCTTCATGTGATTCTTCATCTAGCTTCAAAAAACGTTTAAATGCATCAGGCAGATACATTATACATAGTTGCATTACACCATTGAATACTAAAATTTATCAAATTTTAATAAAATTAATTAAAAAATATAATAAACAACTTAATAATGGAAGTTGGAACTTACTAGCACTTCCTTCTACTTTATATTCCGTAATATTCTTAACACCTCTTGCTACTTCATATTCTATAGTATTCTTAGCACTTCCTTCTACTTTATGTTTCATAGTATTCTTATCAGGTATTGCAATACTGTCCAAAGCTGCATGGAAGGCTTCTACAGCACATTTAATAGTGATTATCGATCTACAAATTAAACATAATGTACAGATATTATTTTGCTATTAATTCAACAAAAAATAAGTCAGCGATACTTACTTATCTGTTTGTATTTTTTGTTGCCAAGTTTTCAATAACTGTTTAGTGATTTTCTTTTTAGAACCACCTTCAGTTTCTTCTGGCTGAAAATCACTATCATCGCTAGCAACCTATAAATAATATTGCTTGAAAATAAATACAAAAAAATAATTAAAATTGTTCATAAAAAAACTTACCACTAAATTTTCATTAGGAACATGTCTATTGTTATTTATTGAAGAATTATCATCTTTGTCATCTTCGTCATCTGATACTTTAAAATCCAAAAGATTTTTGTCATTATCTTTCAGATATTGATAAAACTCGGGATCAGTGTCTTTCAATTTTATTAATGACTTTTTGTGTTCTGCTGGATCTAAGTTATCTTCACTGTTATCACTATCCATCTGTTCATTGTTTCTATTATCTATACAAAAAGATAATAAAAAATAAGACATATAATTTAATTAATATAAAAGAAAGAAATCTAAATCTTTTTTAGACCATACCTATATTTTTATCTTCTTCACTATCTTCACATATATCGCTATCTGTTTCAAAATTCTGTTTAAAAAACTCTTCTGTTGTCAACTTACTCAAATTTTTTTTCTTTTTCTTAGCAATCACTAACTTTCTATTTTTTGATGAGTTAAGAGATTTCTGACTTTTCTTCTTCACCTTCATTTTGACGATAAATAAACTTTACAATTGATTCAATTAATCTAAAAAAATATTGTAGATTGTAAGTGTAAAATATATAATTGAATACACGTGAGTGAGAAATACAATATGATTAACACTTTCATAACCCCATCTTTTTATATTTAAATAGTATGTAAAAAATTATTTATTTTGTTACATAGACACTTTTTTCTTGATTATAACCTATACTTCATCCAATTATTAATACATAAATCATAAATAAATGTTATTAATCTACACTGTAGATTAGTGATCTGAAAGCACATGGAAAAATAAGAGATATGTGTTTATAAATGTATTGTATACCATTTATTTATGATTTATGTATTATTATAATTATTGGATGAAGTATTATAGGTTATAGTTAAGAGAAATGCTGTGTAACAAAATAAATAATTTTTTAAATACTATTTAAAAAGATGGGGTTATGAAAGTGTTAATCCATATTTCTCACTCACATGTATTCTCAGTTATATTATTTTACAGTGATGCGATTTTCAAACTGCTTGCAGCCTGTAACCTCAAAGTTTTCAGCAAGGACCAACTGGGACCGCAACGTGAGAATATTTTGCTTACTGCGGCGTTTTGTCGTCCCGGCCCCCACTACTGAACTCGTCAATCAAGAAGAATTGACCAATCACATTGGTCACGTGACCAATATGATTGGTCAATTCTTCCTTCATCCGAGAACTCGGTCCGAGTTCTAGCATCGTGGACACAAGGCTTTAGCGAAATTCTGCGAGAAAGAGATGCTGCGTTCCGTTTCACACATATGCGCGCATTTTATATAGTGAGCGTCACGTATACTATAGGGGAATAGCTAAAACATGGCGGACCAATCACAAGTGATACCCGTATGGCGCCACTCTGATTATAGGCTCTCTAATCTGACTCTAGTGCCATGCTTTTCGTTATGTTTTCAGCAGTGCGAACAAACTTAACCTAATTTGTCGTTAACGTTCGTTAAATTCCATAGAATTAACGCGGTTTGTGGTTGTACCTCATGACTCGTGAAACCGTCTAATAAGCTTCAAGTTTTAAAAGCAAGAGAATTATCTTCAAATTATTTCGATTAAGAACGTAATGTACTTAAAAGACTATGTATAATAATTTAATTGTCATTTATTTCGACAAGTATTTAAGATAATACAAACTTTAAATATATTCATGGACATAAACAAATCTTTATATTTTTGATTAATTTTACAAAACTATAAAAGAGATAAATAATTAGATATACTTTAGATGCTAATTATACACTGTTCATTATTTAATTAATTCTTTAGTCAATTCTTTAGATAATTATAATATCTCCTATCTAGATGACTATTAAGTCTAACAAAAGGAAAAGAAATATTTTATTTTTATTATTACAGTATAATAAATTTCTAGTTTAAAGTAAAAATGAAATAATGTAAAGCTTAAAATTTACAGAGATTTTTGTAAAATTTTCATCTACAATGGAAAACAAATCCGAAAGAAAAATACCATGTATTATTGTACTTGGCATGGCTGGTGCTGGAAAAACATCATTTGTCTCTAGACTTGTTTCTAAATTATATAATAAAGGAAAGCCATATGTCGTTAATTTAGATCCTGCATGTAAAGATGTTGCATATCCTGCTAATATAGGTAAAAATAAGTTCATATTTAATATGACTAAATAATATTTATTTATTATACTATATTACATATAAATTTGTATACATGATCAAAATTATTATTATTATCATCATTATTGTATTATCATTTGCTTTAAACAGAGCTATGTTCTTTTTTAGATGTAAGAGACACTGTAAATTACAAAGAAGTGATGAAACAGTATAACTTAGGCCCAAATGGTGGTATAGTGACAAGTTTAAATCTTTTTACCACAAAGTTTGATCAGGTTATTGAGCTTATTAACAAAGCTAATAAAGAACACAATTATGTGATTTTTGACACACCAGGACAAATTGAGGTGTTTACATGGTCAGCTAGTGGCTCGATTATAACAGAAGCATTAGCATCTGAATTTCCAACCATTATTGTATATGTGGTAGACACTGTGAGAAGCGTCAATCCTGTTACGTTTATGTCCAATATGTTATACGCTTGTTCTATACTTTATAAAACTAAGTTACCTTTTATAGTAGTTATGAATAAGGTAATTAGATCTTTTTCTGACTAATGTATGATTTAACAATTTAAATACAATCACTTCAAAGATGCATTACTAATATGTTTTAGATTGATATCGTTGAACATAGTTATGCAATTGACTGGATGCATGATTTCGAAGCCTTCCAAGAAGCACTCGACAAGGAAAGTGGTTACATTAACAATCTTACACGGAGCATGGCACTTGCATTAGATGAGTTTTATAGTCATTTGCAATGTTGTGGTGTTTCTGCAGTAACAGGTGCTGGAATTGATGAATTTTTGGAGCTGGTCGAAGCTGCCGTAAATGAATATGAAACGTAAGACCTCATATATTTTGGAAATATGCAAATTGCTACATAGTAACGGTATACAATACAGTTATATGTATATATATTGTAAGAGTTGGGCCAAGAAAAAATGACGGGACTCGAACCGAAGCCTCGAGAAGTTCGGATTAGAAAGCCATTGTCTTGCCGCGGAGCAGTCGACAGTAGAATCTTAGTTTATTTCCTACAATATATATATATATATATATATATATATATATATATGTTATGGGTTTTCAAATACAATGTCATCTCCTTTATACTCCTTTAATCACAACTTTTATATACAAATTTCTATATAAAAGTTTGTACTCGTAATATTTAATTTTCCAATAATCCTTTTACAAAAACCAAGGCATACTTAAGATTTGCTCGCGTTGTATACTTTAACATGCTCCTACTATGGATCCTACTCACTCCAATGAGCATATTAAAATAGGAAAGGTAGGCAATAGTAGGAATATGTTGGAATATGTTAAAGTCAATTAAAGCATGCGACGTGAACAAATCTATAGGAAGACTGTCAGATTCAAACTTAGGAACTATTAACTACACATGCAAAGATTGCTTTTATATGAAGCAATACGTCACCTTATATTTTTGTATTTATTATTATTATTTGTGATATGTAAGTTGTTTTATTTTTAAAGGAATTACAAAAAAGATTGGGAAAAATTGAAGACAGAGAGAGAAGCTCAACGAAAAAAGGCAGAAAAGGAACAATTAGAAAAGGCTAGCAAAAAAACAATAGGGGAAGCTATGTCTTTTGTATCAACGGTTAATAGTGGTCGCGACATTTCGGAAATCTATTTGAAACATGCATGTAATGAATCAAGCGAAGATGAAGATGGAACGGAAAACAATTTCGAGGAAAATGAAGATGAAAAGGAGAAAGAAGAAGAATCGTTTAGAAATTTCTTAGAGAGACATAGAACGGAACAAGCTAAACGCAAGAATAATCGGGAATCCGAACCTAGTACAAGTAAAAACTGAACTATATATACAGTTATATGTATATATATTGTAAAAGTTGGGCCGAGAAAAAATATCGGACGCTCGAACGCGAAGACAGAACTTGAACCGAGGCCTCGAGAAGTTCGAATTAGAAAGCTAGTTTACATTATAATATATTTTTATAATTTTTTTGTAAATAAATTATTTAACAAAAAATAATTTTAATTTTCATAAAATGTTTTAATTAAAAGGTTGCTCTTACCTCATTTATTGTAAACCAAATATTTTTCAATTAAACTTTAATTTCTAACACTGTCTACATATACATTGAGATAGATTTTACTATAATTATAATGTAGAAAATTTTACTCCTTATCGATTGTCAACGCCTACATTTATAATAAAAATAAAATTATATAATTCAGATTTAAATCTAGCATTTATATATAGTGTTTTATATTTTTTGATTTTCAACAAATTCAATTATCTTGTCGAAGTTTTTGTTTTTAACTACATTTTTTAACTGTTTAATGTAATTTTAAATTAATGCTATTTTATTCAATATTGATTTATGTATTTAATTTCGATTTAAGTATATCCTATTAATCTAATAATCTAATTTCGTTTTAAGTGTTTATTAAACTAAGAGTAATTAAAATTATTTAAACTGTGTGGACAATAATGTGATTGAGATATATGATATGTGTTACATTTATCATGTTGTTCACAAGTGTGAGTTAATTATTAAAATTATTTAAACGTAATAATGTGATTGAGATTTGTGATATGTGTTACATTTATCATGTGTTCACAAGTGTGAGTTAATTATTAGATATTCTTTTTAATTATTATATAATACTTAAATCTTTCAAATGCATGTTACATCTTATATACTCATTATTTCGTCATAAAAAAATTGATGAAATGCTAATAATTTTACAATTATATTAAAATACAATTACTACTTGTGAGTATGTGTATACATATATATATATATATACTCACAAGTTATGTATATATACATATATTTATATATACACACACAGGATGTTTCGAAATTTACGAATCGTAATACTACAAGAAAATTAAAAAAAAAATAGCAGTATTGGTAAGCGTATACTTCAACTTATAAACGTAATAAAACATAATCTCTTTAAATTTAGTCTGTAATTGCCTATATTCTTGTTATTTCACAAACTTTATTTCGTTTCAAATAAAAATTTACAAATAACTTTTATTCAATTTTTTTGAAAATTTTCTTATTATAGCACTTTGATTCGTGTATTTCGGAACAACCTATACATATAAGTTTTATATATATATAAATATATATATATATATGTCATTGCAAGAATAGCTGCTTAATACAATAGCACGTTATATATTACAAACATCTCAGATTTGTGACTAATCATATTAAATAATTATATTAAATAAAATTATCATATAATATATTATAATAACTTCATATTGTAATGTAAATACTGCTTAAAAGAAAATTGAGATCAGCAGTTTTGCATTGAGATTTCAATGAATATTCTGTATATTAAAATACAGACCGCTATTATCTATTAAAGCAATATGTCGAGGTGACGAGATTATTTTACGTTCAGATGATGTATTGGTTTTTATAGGAAGAAACTTATATGCAGAATATTTTATATTCCGTTCTATGATAGGTTTTCGATTTGAAATATTGTTGAATTCAATCTCATATAGAACAGGAACTGAAACATATAATTATTAATATTTTAGAATTTAGATATTTAAAATATATTCAATATTTGAGACATATAAACATCGTTAAAAAATTTTAACAATATTTATATTAATTTTATATTATTTTAACATTTAATATTTATATTTCTATTTATTTTTTGAAGACATTTTATTTCAAGAAAGTTTTTGACATAAAATAATAATTGTTAAATATATCATATATACACTAAAATTTTGATATATGTATATTAAAAAATAATAAATTTTAAAAATTTGTGAATTATATCTAAATCTCACTCTAATATAATTTTCTTTTATTGTTAAAATCTCCGTTTTTTATAGAATCATGAAAAAAGATAATCGGAGTTTTCATTGATTTTTATATTCACATATTGAAATTTCTGTTATTCTTAATTTTATCAATAACAGAAATGCAATATGTATATATATTTTTGCTGATTTTTTTATTATAATAATTTTAAATTTAAACTTTAATATTAGCAACAAAAAACATAGAAATTTTGTATTGGTATAAATCTGAAAAAAATATATATATATTCTTGAAAGTCTTACAATATATTGATGAGGAAAATAAACGTAACTTTTTTGAACAATTCAGATCCCTATTCTATGACTCTTGCCTACATTGTTATATTATCATCGTACAGCTTTTCTACCATATACAAAACCTTTGCAACAACAATGTAACGATATCGTTACTGTTAATAAGAGCCCCGGACCTTAATATGGTCTGATATAAATATCATAAAGGACCAAATTAAATTTTTATTGTACCTGTGTTATCTTGAGAGTTTCTTATTTGTTTTGGAGTATTATCCTTTGTTATAATCGATTCTTTTCCCTGATCGTGTTCCCGTCGATATTCTTGGATAATTTGATCCAAAGTTTCAGTTAGAGCCAACTTGCGAATTATTATAATAATTATAGTATCACATATATATACGTACAAATTATATTATTTATCAAGAAATCAAAATATTAAAAAATCAAGTAATTAATATTAAGTATATAATCAGTTAATTAATATCAAGTAATTAATATTAAATATCTAATCAGTTAATTAATGTTAAATATTATACATATATTAAACAATATAGGTCGATATCAGCTAACAAATATTAATAATCAAATTTCTGTTCTAGTCATTATTCATTTACAACGTAAACTTCCGAGTTTGATGTACAAACTCAGAAGATATCGTATAAACTTTCTTGTTTTGACACTTATATACAATGAATGAAAATAGAGTACATACATAATAACTTATTATTCGTTTGACAAATATACCTGACACAGTTTTAAGCGGGACACGCGATTTGTCTCCGATCGCGAGCTCTCTTTCTCATCTTTCGCGGCTTCATGTTGCGAACACCGGCTTTTCCCACCGGCTTTCCGGCATACCTTGGACAACAGGTCGATACGGTCGGCGCGGAAACTGTCGTGCAGGAACTCGTGCACGTGCGGGTTGCAAGAGTTGCAGGCTGAGTCGCGGCCGTGGCAAGTGACCTTGCGAAAACCATAGAGATTCAGTTGCCTGATGAAGCTAGTGATATTGCTCGTCTTAAAGATGGGCCGGTGCGTATCCAGGTACTCCGTCTGGAACCTCTTATAATTGAGCAGTATGGTGTCGCCGTTCGTACCCCAACGAATCGCTCCGGTCTTGCACTCGTTCACTATCCGCCAGAGCTTCTGCGGGAATCGCATCGACTGCAGCACGCAATCCTCGTACATCCTCGTGATTGTGGCTGATGGTTGATCGAACACAAACGGCCGCGCGCGAATCGAAAAACAGCGCGTTTCGAACGTTTCTCGTCCCGTCCGTGTCTCTCTTGTCTTGTTCTTCCTAGTAACACTAGTTCTTCCTCCGAGACCACCTTCGAAACAAATGACTGTCGTATCACGGCAACAACAATCAAAGGCAGTCCCTGAAAAACGGATGCGTCGCTGATCGAAAATGAATCCGTTTTATATCTAGTCTCGCTGTGGTCAAGTCTCGCGACAAATACTTTTGAAGCGATTGATAGACCAATCAAAAGAAGAAAATTTACATTAAAGAAAATTACATTTGCAGCATCTCATTGACCGTACTTCCATTGTGATTTTAATTTGAATATCCAAGCTGATTCCTAAAAATCTTTTTCCATGTTTCCTTGTCATTCCTTTTCTATCCACTCCGTCTCACTGTAAAGATTAATTTATTCTATGTTCACTGCAATTAATAAAAAATAAATATATATGTGTGTATATATATATATATATATATATATATATATATATATATAAAAGTAGATGTAAATGGCGTGATAATGTGAATATCGTATCCCCTCAGAAAAGTGACACAAAACTAAAAAAATACGAAATTATCCGGAGATTCCAAAAGATTTGTACTAAATTCTACATTTTTCTCATTTGATAATCGTATATATCAACGAAAATTTGGCACATCGATGGATTTATCGCTCTCACCGGTGTGATAAATTCATCTTGTCATGCTTGAGACACTAAATTTTGAGATTTGATTCTTTTATAGATACACGTTGATGACATATAGTCATAGTGATGCTGACAACGATGACAAGTTAAACAGAACTTTTTGTGGTTAACTAAAATTCTGTAGGGAGGTCAAAAATTGGACTTTTTTAACATCTTCCTTTATCGCTCACCTCGTCCAGCGCCAATTTCCAACAGCCACATCGCTTCATAACTATTATAGATTATATTTTATTTATTTCGGGAATTTGATAATTATATTTTTTTGAAAAGAAAAATATTAATTGTGTATGTGGGGCAATAAATTTTTCAATAAAAATCGATAAAAATTGTATCAAAAGTTGTAATGTTATTGTTATTGTATATTATATTACTATTATATATATTTATATTATACTTTGGAAATAATAGTGTTTATATAAATTTTACCAAGAATAATACTTTTTATTTACATTCGCTTTAACTTATAATAACATCATAAATTTTTCATAAAGATTGATAAATATATGAATAGGATATAAAACATACATCATATTCCAATTATAATAGATAACATAATACAAAAACTTGATAAACGAAAACGAAATTGTAAAAACGTGCAATTATCATAAAATAATTTTTACGATAAGACTTTTTAAATATTTTTTGTTATTGATTTTATAAATCAAACTTATATTTGTTTAGGCTTTAATTAAGAGTGACGTTAATATATCACACATGTAATAGAATCGTGCTTTTGCTGAGGAAATCTAACTAAAAGTGTATTTGAAAATCAGTTCAGATGCTGTATTTTTGCTGTATGTAGATACACAGATACAAATATTCAAATTTGAATATATTTCACAGATACAGATTAATATACTCAAAATGTAAAAATCTATAGATATAGTAGAAATATTACTCAACACTGCTTACATTTATCTATAATCATTACCTTTGTTATTTTTAATACGTTTCCACTACATTTAAAAACGTTAATAAAATAGTTCTAATATAAAAATGATATTAATACTATTTCATGGACGTGCTCATTCAAAAGCATTGATATTTCAAACTTTCCTTCCTTCCGTATGTAATTTACATACTTTTTTTATATTTAATAATTACTATGAGAATCCATAATGTAATTATTCATTTGAATGATAGAGCTCTATTTATCAATTGATGAATAGATTGTCTTAAAGACAGAATGTAATATTAATTTTACATATTTATATATTTTACTATATTTTAATATTTGATTAAATTGTAATATGTAATAGGTATAGATCTAAATTGTAATAGGTACTGATCTAAATTTTTATTATAAAAATTCTGTTATCCGATAGAAAGTCTCATATCAAGTTAGTACGGGAAATTTTTTTGTCAATTCGAGATCAGTTTTTTCTTAATAAAAATTCTAAAAATATTGAATGAAATAAAAAACTTTAGAAAGAATTTTAACTTAGAAAGAATTTTAATTACAAAGTATTTAATTACAAAAATATACAATATTACAATATATAAGTATTTAAAATTTGAGAAATCGCAAAAACCCGATTTTTTGCAAAATTGTCGAAGCATCTGTCATAAAATTTGATGCATCTATATATAGATACCTGACAATCTTTTATGTACTAAGCTGCTATTTCGCCAGATAATAATGACGAGGTATATTTGTGCTTTATACTGTTCAGTCGTCAACTTCGATGATATGAATAAGCTGTGCACTGCACAACCGGAACATTATTAACTTTAGGCCCTTATTAGTCTGTATAGTTTTAATTATACATTATATGTACTATCGTACATATTATTGTCTATTTTTTTACCATATATAAAACTTATACATATACGTAACTACATCAACATCGTCAATCTCAAAAGTTACAGATGCCTTAGTTTTCCTTATTTTATAAGGATTCTGAGTATGAAGTGTTCTCTTCACTCCTTATCGATTTATTCTTCACGCACAAATTCATATCACGGTTTATTCGCACGAAATAACGAAAGTTGAAGTTCAAATATTTCTTTCACTGTTACAAATGTATTAGTTGGACACAACTGGAAGGGCTTGCAGATACTCGCGAGGGATCGCAGGAGCCGGAAGTAAGTAGCCATCCGGATCCAAAACGTCCGGAGTCCGTAACAACACTGGACCTTGCGGTGGTCTCGGTAGTGTTCCTTGCCGGGTCAATTCATTTTGTGCTTCTTCCAACCTCTCCAGAATATCGGGGAACTTGATTCGTTCCCGCGGCTCAATCTTCCAACAATCGTTCATTATTTCGCAAATAATGGGCGGACAATCGTCTGGTGGGATAAGCATCGTCCCTTGAAGTATGAGTTTTACAACCTGGAACAATCGTTGAGAAACACATACGATATTCATTTAATAGAACTGATAGACTGAAAAAGAAATTTTAACGTATATTTTTGCACATCTGACCTCTTCGTTACTGGATCCGTAATATGGCTGCTTCCCAAATGAATAAACTTCCCAAAGGACTACACCGAACATCCATACATCGGTTTCTAATGTAAACCTGCCATATACTACACTTTCCGGCGACATCCAACGTATTGGCAGCAAACGTTGACCTCCAATCTGAAAAAAAAAAAAAAAACGTTAATTATAATGTTTATTTAGTTTAGCGATAGTAATGGAGAGATGAGTGGAATCATATCAGTCCCTATATGTCTGAATCAAGTCACAGAGTCACCTCTAAATAGTTCCTTTGTAACTACTCCCGCTAAGTCAATACAAAATGCTCCGTACATACGGAATGCGAGATTTAAATTTGCAACCTGTCGATTATGTTGCTCTTATACGGAGCCATATGATATACCATTTTATATAATTTAAAAATTATGACAATTTTCCGTTAATAACATCCATGTCAAAGAAATGGAGAAGAGATAGCAAAAGCTATGCAGATAATCTCAAAATTTTCTGAAAAGAAAGTTCTTACTCAGCCAATATGTCTAACAATAAAAGACGCCATAAAACATTATAAAGACATCTTTGAGACATTATACGTGTTTAAAAGGTATTTAAAAGACATCATACAATAAAGAAATCTTCTAGACATACACACACATATACACACAGACAGAGTGCGTGTGTCATCTAGATATGTTATTGTTACAAAAAAAATTTTACCTTATAATAGTCGCAAGTGTAAATATCTCGCGACATGCCAAAGTCAGCGATTTTCACTGTTAAGCCTGAGCCCACCAGACAGTTTCGACATGCTAGATCACGATGCACGAATCTTTGTGCCGACAGGTACGTCATGCCGGCCGCAATTTGAATCGATATCCAGTGTAGCGAGTCCTATATAAACAACGACACGCCATCGTCAAATTATTTCTATCGATAAAAAATTTCGCTGGAAATTGTGTTGTAATAATATATGACGCGATGGTGCATTTTAGATATAGAAAAAAAAACATCGAAATGTCACACACTCCAATTCACGCGCGCAGTGAATCATAATTCAAGATATACGAGAATTGCTCTGACGACTCGCGATTAAAGGCTTCCACGTACATTTACCGATGTTATTGTACAATTTCTACAACTAATTACCAATTATTATAATTCTTTAATTAATTATACAAAGATTTAAGATTGTGACACGATACCTTCGTTAATGGCTGCAGTCCAGATTTCGACGATCTTAATTGCGAGGAGTTTGCTCGTAGTACCTCGGCGAGGTCACCATACGGCATGTATTCGAACACCATCCACGGATTATTCGTCGCATCTCGAAGTACCATGCCCTTTAGGGACAAAATGTTCGTATGGTCGAACGTGGACATGATGTCTACTTCGCGCATAAAGTCCTGCTCGGTTTCGGGCGTAGCGGTGTCTTTCAGAACTTTTATAGCGACAATCTCCTTCGTATCTCCGTTGTGCCACTCGCCTGTAACATTTTTATTATGCAAAATCTAGCATTATAATATTTAACGTTAACTTTATGTAAGCGATTGACCTTACAAGAAATTAGTATATTAAAAAGATAACGAAAAATTTTCCGACGTTATAAATCCCTAATCTCGTTAAATTGACCAGAAGAATTGACTCAAAGAATTGATTGATTGAATAAAAAATTATTGTTTTATTTCATTTTACATATATTACATATTCACAAAATTTTACCTTTGTAAACTTTTCCGAAGCATCCTTCGCCGATGTCGTGAAGAAACATAAGACTTTCACGTTGCATTATTGTTACCCCCGGAGGCGTGCAGGTAAAATATTGAGGATTAGACGTGTACTTATGCGCTAATAATAAGTCTTTCTTCAGATTTATGGGGGATCCCTGATAAAATGTGACAAGCAAGATAATTATTAAGAATAATTAAAAATTATTCGCAGTTATTAAAAATATCCGTAGGATATTAACGATTAATGAAAAAGTGCAAAAATTAAAACAGAAAAAAATTGACTTTGAAATAAATTTACTGTTAAAGTATAGACTGTAAATTATTTATAATAGAAAAGGGAAATTTTAGATCTAGATTAGAAGGACACGAAAAATATAGTGCAAATATGTAAATATATTTCATTGTTTATGCATCTTAGGATAACACTGTTTCAAACAAGTTACGGCGACTTACATCTAAAGGATTTCTTTGCGATTTGATGCTGTAACTCCGTCTTCTTTCGCCATATATAATGCATGATAAGAGCACAATTACCGCGACGAAAGCTACAACTACTCCTATGATTTCAGGTACCTTGTATTTCAACTCCACTGCCTGTCACATTGATTTTTAATAACTTATTATACAAGTAAATAGACAGTAGTGTTTATTGTAAATATCCAAATATAGTATATAAAAACTTCAATTTTAGTAAAGAGTAGATATACCTGTTCAGCTTCTGAAAGTACATTCGTGCTATTTGTGTTGTTGTTGCCGCTTGGCGGTATTATGTTATATATAGGACGAGGTGTTAAAGGAACTGAAATATTGTTATCGTATTACATGATGTCGCTTTAATCTTAATACCGCATTTATAATATGATCATATCTTTATAACTTTTTGAGCCAATTAGGTTTGTATTTATTATCATCTCTGACCAATTTCTTCATTTCTAGATAATTTTATCCATGACACGTGTCTTTTAGATTACAATGTACATATTTCATGGCTATAAAATTATCTGTTATTTATTATATTTAGAAAAGAAATTGGGAATTAGTCATGCACTCTCAATTTTTCACTTGTCAAGTAGATTATTGAGATAAACTATTTTTACGTTTATTTTTATATTTAAAATTGCTTATTCTCTGTAATAATAAAGCTTTTGTGAAAGAGTGAAATAATTTTACCGATTAGACGATTTGGACATTTTAAATCTGATGTCGGTAACGACAAGTCATGAGGACACACGCATTTTGATGAGTTGTCCGCGAAACTACGGCAGGCCGCTTCCTTTCCGCAAATCGACGGATTATCCTTGCATGCTTTGATCACGAAATTGTCTCCTGGCGAAAAAAATTTCAATGAATAACTACAAAAAATTACAAAAATAGCAATTTTATAGAAATTTTTATTTTCTTGTACATTTTTTTATATTTTTGTAAAAATATTTATTTTTACAAGTAATTAATTTTTAAACAATAATAAGATTAAGAAAGGAAGCACGAAGCAAAGCCATTAACGGTCAAAGCTAGATTACAATGCTTAGTATAATGTGTGAATTTATATACTGCGTATGTAGTTCACTCAATCGCGTGCCGAAATTTTTTCAGACTTACAACCCAACTCTAAACGATTACCGTGGTAATATCACTTATTTAGTTAAATTGACAATCAATTTAACAATTTTAGATGCTTATAGCATCTTATTGGATCTTAATAATATGTTGAAAGACATATATTAAAATTTTCACGAATATTAAAGCAATGATAAATCTATCTTGTGAAAAATAAGAATTGCTAAGAATATCACAAGTTGGCGTTTCGCCTATTAATTTTTATTTATAGATTTTAATATATCATCAAACATTATTAAGATCAATCTAAAATGCGCAAAGAGCATCAAAAATTGTTAAATTGTTAGTCAATTTAACTCGTGATATTACTGCGGTAGTGTAATAGTATTGCGCGCGTTTCAAGTCTGAAAAATTCGGCGCGCAATTAAAAATCTGCATACGTAGTATATAAATTCACACGCAATTATATAGAAGCACCCGAGATCCAGCTTGACCGTTACGGCATGTTGTCATTGGTTTTCATTGGCTCTTAATAAAATCGTATTTGTGGAGTTTAATGTGGAATGGGAGACTAATTTTTGTAATTTTTGTTTACTATAATTACTTTTAATTTATGTTTTAATTTAATTATTTAATTTAATTTGAAGAAGTGATTCTATATATGTTACATTTTGCTCTCGTTAAAGTAAAGAAATGTGTAATATAAATTATTAATAAAATCTAATATTTTGTGTAATCTCGTTTTGTGTAAAAAAAAACGAGTGTATCATTTTAATTCATTTCTGAATAATAATTCGATTTATCGGAGCTTCCCATTTTGCTTGGTCTCTTCCAGCTTTAAATGGCTTACATTCAGATAAAAAAAAGATGAAGGATTTAAAATAAAATATAAATTTACAAGTTTCCTAAGTGGTACATGGGAGTTTGGATGGAACGTTGCCATCACCGCGTCGGCGTCGGTTGTGCCGACGGGAGCAAAGAGATCGCCGTCGCAGATTCGCAGGATCGTTGCAAACGGCCTGTAAAGGGCAGCCAGGGAAGAGAAAAAGGGCCGCATATTTGGATTGGGCACAGGAAGATAGAGACAGTGAAGGCATTCATTTGGTACTCTTGAAGCTTGTAACGGGTCAAAGCGTTATCTCTGCGGTCAGCGCTCCCCGACAACGAGTCTCGCTATGTGTACCTATTATCGCCCCGTATTCCATGCCCGCGCCCGAAGTATCTTCGTTACGAGATTTACCGCATTTACGAGATCGACGGTTTCTCCGGGGAGATCGATCACCGGACTTGACGCCGACAGCGGCAGGTATTACCTGCTGCGAAAAGTACAACGTGAGTTAACGTGAAGTTCGTCGCCAGTCTTGTGTGACATAAATGCAAGAGGAGGGAGAAACGATTTCTCCTTCATCGCGAAAGCGACGCAGCCGCGTTTGAACGGCCATCGATCTCGTCTGACCATCTCGAGAGAAGGGCTGTTACTTTTCAGAGAATATCCTGCAGACACGTTTGGCAATTTATCGAGGATTAATGCTGCTTCCGATACCATCCACCATCAAATCAATTGTACCATCGCAGCATCGTGATTTTCGCATTTACGCCACATTATTACTGACCTCTGCTCTTTGCCATATACACGACATAGAAACTACTATTGGCTCCGCCGGCTGACCCTCGATAGCACGAATATCGCGTAGTAAAGCTCGCGGAGTATTATTTTATGGCAAATTCGATTAATCGCATTAGTGCGCACTGCCCTGTGTATATTAAAGCCGTTGTATACTGATTTGATTGAAGTGTAGAAGTGAAATGCAAATATTTCGAATTATATTTACCTAGCAGCACAAATACAGTACATTAAGTATTTCACTTCTACAGATTTATCCGATTTTTATGTTTATTTTTATAATATACCTTTACGTTAATTTGTGTACGACGGCTTTAATGTGCACCAGTGCGCACTGAGTGCGTCCAATTGAATATTAGTTTACGCTTTACATCCAGTAATTATGATATAATGCAAAGTCATCCGCATTACTTGTTAGTTTTTAAAAACTCGCGACTCGATTAAATGGTTTACTAATTTTCTTTTTTTCTCTCGACGAGTATACGAAATTTAGTTATTCTTAGAAAACTTAGTTGCTTTTTACGTAATTCATCAACGTCTTGATAAATGAGTTAGATTTGTAAGAGAAAAGAAGATTTAGTTTATACGAATTAAGTTTATACGCGATAAGCTGCATTTTTGTTGTATTCCAGAGATTGCGATGTGCAAAAAAGATGATTATTACATAAAATTTATTTTATAATTTGTTTATAGAATTGTCAATGTCCAAAATTCTGTTTAAGAAATAGATATAAAATTGGGAAGGATATTATATCATTAAAATTTAAACAAATATTCTGTATACGGATGTTTAATTTCAATTCTTGACTATGTTACAGTAGTTTGGTGCAGTCAGTAGCTAAACTGATGGATGCTTTTGTCTTAATGGAAATAGCAACAGATGATATATAATGACATTCGATCCTAATTGAAGCTATATATTGTCTTTCAACTGTTATGATAAATGATAAATTTGGAAACTTCAATACACCCACATGTGCTGAGATGCGTTTATTTGCAAATCCAAGCTTTAGACGCACAGACTACAATAGAGGCATTATATGAGTGAACGCTTCATCCTGCCTAAACGTGCGATTCATGAAAGGATCGAAAGAGATCGGTGAATATCGTAGGGTGCTCGTGAAACAATATACGTATAGATACACAAATAAATACAAAATAAGATTTGCAATCGGTGTATAAAATGATAAATTGATCCGTATTTAACTTTAAATTTGTACAGAAGAATATCGAAAATGTCTCTTTTACTTTCAATTTCAACATTTACTTGTAATATCTTATTTTAATATAATTAAATTTCTTTAATAATTAAGTCAAAATTTTGATGAAACGTATATTAGACTTTAAATTAAATTAAAACTAAAGTTTTGCCATCTATATTTACTATTTTATTATACACTACCGGTCATTGCTCTGTGTGTAAATATAATTGTGTGTATGTGTGTGTGATGATTTAATATCAAAATAAGAATTAATCTTTTATTGTTTTTGACATTACATGTGTAATTCTAAGAAATGTGACATTATCTTTAATATTATAAATGCGACAAAAATGTGTGGTTATACTAAATCAAATAGGACTTATCGAAAGGTCGAAAGTACTCACGATATTGAAGATAACAGGGCAGGACAAAAAACAAGTGGGACTTCTAATTTCTTTCCAGAAGAACATTTGTTGATAGAAATATAGATGGAAATATAGAACTTTAGCACATAAATTTAAATATATTGTAGATAAATGTTTCCAACACTAATTTCTTTATATATTTCTTTCTTTTAATAATAAATTTGTTTATATATATTAAGTAAAGTACGTACATAGCAAAATACGCTAAAAATACAATGACATTTAAATTAATACTGGCAAAGATAAAATTGTTTTGTTAAGTATATAACGTAGACGATTTGTGGCAAACAAATTTTTAATTATACCATATTATTAAATGCTGTAAAGTTTGTAAATATTGACATTTAGGTTCGCATTTAGACATTAGACATAGCAAATAATAAATTTACATAAAAACGTATTGCTTTGTTATTTAATGTTAAATTCTCTAAATTTGTCATAAAATACTAAGCAAAAATATATATAAATATTTCTAGGTCGCAGACACGATCACTATAGTTCATCATTATAAATCGTTTCATTTATTCTTGGAATGTAGTCATTCTATTTCTTATCTAACATAAACTTCAACTAAAATATTTTGATATTAATAATATACTGTGAAAGACAAATTTAAAATAGAAATGCAACATATAAAAATATTTCAGCTGAATTTTATGTGAAGCAGCATTGTCTTATAAAGCATTTATAATCCTTATCAGTTTAACGGTTTCTTATAACTACACTTAAGTTATGACCAACATCGTATACAATTTATGAAGTAATTATGTATCGTTTTCACTAATTATTGGAGCTTCTTGGTACTTTACGTAACAGTCCTAATTGAATTTGATACATATTAGATGACTCTTGCTCATTCCACGAATCTATTAACCCAATGAGACGCGGAACAAGCTACCGTGTGTATTCGGATTTCTCAAAAGAAGCTTTCAGGATTTCTCCGGTAAAAGCAATATGTCAAAACAAACTTTCAGATCACGTCACAAGCATTCAATTACACGTAAAAGATGTAACAATAGAAATTATTTATAAGAAATTTATTCTCCTTTATGTGCGATCCATTATAATTTTAGTATAATATTATATTAACAAATTTTAACGTCTTGGTATATTTTTATTGCAAAAAAGAAATGGTATTGAATTAAAAAAGGGAATGCATTCAAATTTAATGCGATAAAAATAGTAGAGATTGAAGCATATGCGAAATTTGAAACCTTACTTGTCTTACCTGTTTGCGTTTCGGGAGTAGAAAGGCCTCTTTTTCTCGGCACTTTTCGTCTATACATCGTGCGTCTGTGCTAGTAAACAACAAATGGACCAAATCACTCTCTTTGGTTGAAAAAGTAATTCTTCGCACTCGTTTGCACTCCTTTGCGAAGCGGCAATTACCATCGACACGCTAATTGCATCGGCATTACTTTTGCGAGAGAGGTATTACCGCCCCCGTAAACGCTACAATGGACATTAATATATGAAAAGAGGTCTTGTAAAGAAATCCAAGAAATCACCGTGGACGGTTGTTGCGTCGATGATAAATCACAGCATCTCTCTCTTTATTTTCCTTTCTCTTTCTCTTTTTCGCCTTATACCGTACGCACTATCACGTGACACATAATAGGACATCGAATAAGGTCCGCATTTTTTTTTTCTTCCTTTATTCCCGGTCTAGATTTGCGCACCGTTCTCAAGTTCCTCGAATTTCCACCACCGGTTTCTTTCGTAATCCTGACCGAGATCGATCCCGAAGTGACGGCGAGTCATATTGTTGGAGAACGGAAGTCCTTTAAGAACTCCTCGTAGGTGACGGTGTGAGTGGGTGCTGAAGCCTTAAGCCGGAAGCCGAAACCTCTGTGTGATTAGACGGGGGAACGGCGTAGGTGGAAACCGGGAGACGGGAGTGTGAGGTGTATTCTCTCTTCGACGAACGCTTAACCGAAACTGAAGACCGCCTTCGAGACTCCCTCGCTTTCCTACGCGCGGAGCACCAGCACGATCGCACGAAACGCGCGTGTGCGTGCGTGTCACACACACGCGTGTGATAGAGATTTACTCGAGATTTCAACTCGGTTCATCATCGTCTTGACAGCTCGACCTACGCTATCGGAAAGTGACGGTGGCTCGCCATAAGCCACCGAATTTCTTTAAAAAAAAAGGGTGCGTCTTCGCCTCTGTATGGCTCACACCTGACATATGTTCCTATATATCTACTCGACCACCTACGCGTTCGCGCGAAACGGCAACAAAAGTTTATGTCTTGAAAATATGCAGGTTGTCCTCTAGCGACTAGAAATTTCCTCGATGTCCAAGAGACAGTAGCTGAAAAAAAAATAGCAGTTACTTCAAGGCAATCTCAATGATTCGTTGAAATCGACCGTTAGTTGCTTAAAGACAGCGATTCTCCTTCAAAGATATTGGATTGTTTTATCTGGAGATGGTAATTAAATCGTCTGTGTAGATGAATATGCGTTGACGCGCGCGTCATATCAATACATGTATATATGCGTTCTCCGTAACACTGACGCTATCGCTACTGCTTATCGTTTATTTTTTGCTCAATTGGAGGAAACATACAGATATTCCACCTAATTTCTTTTTTAACTTGAAATGTGGTGCAACTGAATGAAATAAGTCGAATCATAGTTTTGTGTAATTAAAAAATATTTCATATCAGATTATTCTTTGATTTATTAGAAATTCGATAAAACCGATAAAATAATCATTATCAGTTATCAATTCACACATTATTTCATTTAGACTGTAGTTCAGTCAAAATAGAATTTTTTTTAAGAAAAAAACTCTGAAGGAGCTGAATTTTTCAGGAAAGTTTTATTTTGGCATAATAAATAACGACACAAAAATCCTCATCCATATGTTGTACGAAAAAGTCACCATATTGATTCAAAGGTATCAAAAAATCGATTTTTCTTTCAAAATCGTGTTTTTTGGTAGGAGGGCTCAGACTATAATGTGAAAATATCGTTGTCACTATTAAAATGTAACATAAATATTTTACTTTATTAATTTGAGCCTTCCTGCCAAAAAAAACACAATTTTGAAAGAAAAAAGAATGAGGAAAATCAACATGGATTAGTCCTGTGGCGATTGCATCGTCACAGAGATGTAAATACGTGAAACTAGTCGTCATGAGAATAACACACAGCACACAAACACATACACTTGACAAGCAGATACAGTTATTTACGAAGACAATAGCCTTTTAAACTTATGAAGTTCTTATGACGGTTTTTCATCCTTTTCTTTATATTGGTCACGGGACTCACGGGTATGAAGGTAAAGGCTAGATCAATGAGAATTTGAATTGTATTTATAAACTGTATTTTATAAAATCTGCATTATAATTGTGTACAAAAAAATTATCAAGCGTCGTGATATAATTTAAAGTTTTAAAACGTAACGACGATACGAAGTATATACACGCGTAATAATATTTAGTTACAGGACATAGAAATGGCGAGAAAGACATGAACGATAGGAAAAGCGAGCGTGAGATCAAGCAGACAAAAAGTCAACCAGCTGACGTTGACAAATATTGACGTGTTCTTTTAGACTTTTACATTATAATTCTCAGGTCGATTCTGAATACTTTACATATATATTTCTTAGAGTTTGACTTTTCATCGGTACCGATTCCGCTATATTCTTGTGGAGCAAATAGAATCAATCGTGTACAATGATTTGAATCAATATGGCGGTTTTTCTGTACAACGATAGGAATTAACTTTTGTATCGTTATTTGTTATGACAAAATAAAGCTCTCCTGAAAAATTCAGCTCCTCCGGAGCTTTTTCCTAGATTTGTCAATTTTATAGCTAATTTGACTGAACTACTGGGTTATTTCACCTTTCGATAAACTTTAGCTTACTGTCTTACTCTTATGCCTGTTTCCACCAATGCAGATTAACTTTAATCTCGGTTTAACTTACTGTTAATCTTTTTCTAATTTTCAGAATTAGAAAAAGACGAAGAGTAAATTGAACCGAGATTAAAGTTAATCTGCATTGGTGGAAATGAGCATTACTCTTTTATGCTTTTATTCTTTTGTTTGACCAATAGGTAAATTATCACTAATTCATCTGAAGATGGAACACAACTGGTCCTTAGGCAAACAAAAATTTAAAGAAACCTTTTTCTGAATGAAATCATTAAATAACCATTTTTTAATTTCATTTATTTTTATTTTACCTGCAATTACGTTCTTATTCCATTTTAAATGGTTGGATTAATGGTGGAATTAAATATTTAATGTCAACAACTTTTTATAGTTAATGGCATTAATAATTTAATTGAAAAGACATGAAAAATTGATAATTTTTTTTCTCTATCAATTTGTGTAGATATTATTTAACTTGGTCAAATAAATTTAATATTCGCTATCGCTGATCAGCTTGATATATTATTGCCTAACGAACTGCCGTCTCCCACCCTTTCCTACTCTTGGCGAACAACCCGACGTTTCAGCTTCCGATCATGATAAACAAGTCGACTCTCGAGAACATGAATTCCGCACAGAAGTTATGTGTATACTTTTCAATGTATGTCCGAGTCTACCGATAAATGCTCATGTCTGCAGTATATATGCGTGCTTCTACCAAAACTTGTCAGAAATCACTTGTCAACATATACTTATTGATACAATTTATCTTAATTAAACTAACAATTAGAAAAAAATCTGTTGTACTTTCAACGGACTGTATGCATATTACAATGAAAAATGACATTGAAAGATGTTTTAGCTGTACAATATTATCAGCTAAAACATCTTTCTAAAAAACAACAGCCAAAAAATTTTTGTAAATAAGGACATAAATAATAAGCCCTGAAACTAAATGAAAAAACAAAATAATAAATAAATATAATAATTTAGCAGTTAGCTTATAATAGCTCTATGTAACAAAATAACTATATTTTGCTACAGTTTTAGGTATAAGTTTCAATCAAATAGATCTAAATAAACTTTTGCACATAATAGTTGTATATTAGAATTTTATTAGAATATATGTATATAAATTTTTTATTTAATTCGCGTAATGACATGATCTTATTAAAGTTGTAAATAAGTACTACAAAACGTAATTCTATATAAGAGAACAAACAAAATAAAAAAATTAAATAACTTTTATGCTCAAATTTTACACAGATACGTAATAATAGAATAATCCATAAATTTTATATGTGTAACTTGGTAATACTTTGACATGTAAGACTTTCCATCCGTAATATTTTAGATAAATTAAAACGAATTTCTTGGTATTTTATTATAATCGTGATGCTCAAAATTATTTGTATCAATAATATGTTTCGAACGCAAAAGGGAAAAATTTTTAACTATATCAGATTTTACATTTCATTTTGTAATTTGTTCATTTTCTGCGAAACGCACAAGCGGGAGTTTATGCGTATCCTCCCCCGTAAAAAGCAACTGTTAATAAAAGACCGTTTCTGTGAGCGGCACAGTGAGGTTCGAAAATAATTTTGAAGGATTACCATTTGGTATTAACGATTGATGTTCGTTCCCGACCCCGTCGGGATAATACCGGTTTAACGCCGGGGATCCACGTCCAGTGGACAGTGTATCGTTAATAAAGCCGGTGGTTTTTATAGTTTCTGAAGACCAAAACACGTACTAAGTAGGCGAAAAATGAGTCGAAACAAAAGTGACGCGGGAAATGTGAGACAGGGGCGAAGAGATGTTAAGAGTTTCCAAGAGGAGACCGTCGGAATGGCATAAGTGTTGTATATTTACATTGGCGTTACAAGCTCACACCTGGACACAAGAATAGCGCCGCTTCTTCTTCTTCTTCTTCTTCCCCGGAGCATTTTCTCGCGCCATACGTCAGACCTGTCTGACAAAAGCTATATTTCTATCCTGCTGCATTAATACAGTTATTTCGGTAATCGTGCGGATTTTCTACGAGTAACAAACGCTTTTAAAAGAGTAGGGTAATTTTATATTCTTATCAATGATAATCCTGCAATCCAATAAGACATTATTTGTATGATAATAAAATAAGATTTCATTTATTTATATATAACGATAAATACTTCACATAAATTTTCCAAAAGACAAATTCTATAAGCTATATTATATTTTCTTTATGATTAACGGTAATCTTTATGATTTACTCAAAAATTCTTATCTCTCTACTGGGTAATAATAAATCAAATAATCCAAAGTATCAGAAATGTATCTGTTGTAATTTTTAACTTATTTTTTTTTATAGATAAGTCTTTTTAGAATTTTATATGAGATAAAATTTATAAAAGT